CCTTTTACCCTACATTAGAGTATGTTGAAATTGCTAAAAAAATCCCAAATGCAAAAAAGCGTCTGAGATTCCCTTTGAACAGATATGATGCAAATGCTCAACAATAAGAGTTTTATATACGATGACCCCTGAACTAACAACCAATATTCCTGCCACTATGACGTTATTCATATCGTATTGACGATTGATAAAATTATTTTTTTAAAAGATTGATGGAAAAGAAACTCAATATTGCAACATTAAGTGCATTTACATACACAATATGCAGATTACTATCAAAAATGTACATTTAAAAGTACAAAAACCTTTAATTATTAAGTGTGCAGTACAATTCTACATTTAAATGTTCAACTTCTCATTTACAATTGTTTAGATTCTGCAAGACATAAATTTGTACATGCTCAACGAACATGACAGTGACAGTTCAATCAAAAAACAGCAACGCATTTGCTATAACACTTGTATGACACTCCATGACACATTTTGTAAGAATAATGCAAAATGCTAAAACAAAATCCATCTTAAGACAAATGTTTCTTTCCTCCCTCTCACTCAAGCTTAGTGGTTAATGATGGGATGGTAACTGAAAGGTTGCTAATACCAAATCTGAAAATACTTCCATATCCATAAACTACTGTGCCACACACTGAACCTCAGGATGAAGATGTGTGCCACGTGACAGAGCTGTGGCTCTGGACGCAAACCCTACAGGACCAGATCGCAGTGAACCACTCCACTGATTGGCTGGTTTGATCAAACATCAGCAGACAATGAACACAAAGGCTGAACAGTGATGTTTGTGCTGAGGGTCTATGGTAACTCTCACCCAGCACTGGTCATTCACTCTGCAGCGGATTTAGACTATTATTATTGTTACATAATTTTATTATTATATTTTACATCTATTATTATTATTTACACTGTTATAACGCGCATTTAGGTCAAATGCACAGCATCATCATCACATGGAAATCAAATCATCGTTCATCTCGCCAGCCAGCAAACAACAATAAAGCTCCGTCCTGAATGAAGACGAAAAAACTGAATACAGTGACGAATCCCAGTGTGTTTTTTTTCTCCTCTTCTCCTCCTCCTCATCACTATTTGATTCTCATTTATTTTTCACTCATGTGTATCCTTGTGCTAAAGTGTGTTAGCATCACTACTACATGTGAACGAGAAGCTGCAGCTACACACATAAACATGCTTAAAGTGTGTTTTCTGTCAAACACACAATCGCATTTAGATCGAAACTGAATGTATGACACCAACAGTGAGTCTTGCAGAAGTGAAAGCGCGTGAAGCGAGTTATCGGGAATCGTGCAAAACACTTAACGAAACACCAAAACAAACAGGGAAACTCACCGGCAGAATGATTTACATTCAGCAACAGTCATTTAAAGCTGGATGTTGAGCATCACTGTGATTTACTTCAGCTCAGTTTGAGAGCAGCTGTGTGTGTGTGTGCGCGTGTTGTTGTTGCGCGCCCCCTCAGTCTGGCGTCAGTTGGTACAGTCCTGTATGAGTGTGCGCGCGCTCAGACGTCATCATGCATGGCGCAATCCAGATGTTGAGGACATCCGGGGTTTTTCTTTAAAAGCTTTTTTAGGGTGTGTAGCTGTGTACTGTAGCTGTAGCCTATATACATGTTAAACAATGTAATAATTAAATGCATATATGCCTACTCTAAGGTAAGACTGTGCAGATGCATTTTATTAACACATTTTATTTACCATTATGTACATTTTGTCACAGTCCTACTATATGAAACTTGGTGTTGTGTACTGCAAATCCCTGTTGGTTGGTTCCTAATAAATTGCTTGCAATGATCCACTTTTGTAAGTCACTCTGGATAAAAGCATATGCTAAATAATTAAATGTGAGTGTAAAAGGTTCAAATACACACTTTAGAAATTGTTAGAAAGGCCCAATGTTCAGGGCCATGTTCAAAGCTTGATGCTTTAAGTTTCTTTTTCATTAGTGGAGAAAAGAATGCACAAAATGACTGCCCACATTTTAATAGAAATTTAAATTACTCAGTATTAAAGGTAGGGAATAGGCAATTTTCTGAGCGGCTAGCAATAGCAAGCTAGCTTTGAAAGCATGAGATCCCACCCTTCCTTCAGACCATCTCCAGAGCCACTTCTCCACCAAACACATTAACACATACACAAGAGTCACGAGAGCATTAAACTACCTCATGTCTCAAAGCACAGAACATTACAATAATAATGAACATTACCAACTTACAGAGTGCTGACCTGGACCACCTGACTGCTGCAGTTTAATTTCGGTGATGATAATGTTGCCATTGAAACATAATTTCGAGTCTTAAACCGCTCGAGTAGCCTATAACGTCACAGGTTTGCATCACACCAGAGTACAGTATTATGGTGTGAACGCAGCATAAGGCGGCTGCTGTTTGTGGCGCTCGGCGACTGATTGGCCTGTCAGAGTTGTGTTCGCTATAGAGTGCCGAAATGATGACGTCACTTTGTAGGACAACTCGAAAGCTAGCGGCGCATGGGTTCCCTCGATCACTTCGGCACTCTATAGGGAACACAACCCTGACAGGCCAATCAGGACCAACGCTAAGCGGAGGGGTTTGTATTCGCTATCACAACCGCCTTGCACTACATTATCTTGCTTATTACGTGGCTACCTACCAAATAAATCAATAATTTGAAACAAAATATTGATTTAAAACGAGTTTATTGATTAAAAGGAGTTTACCCTCCAGAGTGAACAGAACTGTGTCCATGGCAACGCTCTGTTTTTCATGGCAACAGTGAGTTAAACTTAGCAGCGTCTGTTATCAGGAAATAGCAGACCGCATTCTGCGTTACAATTCAACCAAGCCGTGTAATAAACACACATATAAATACCCTTAGACTACTTAACTAGTGATTACTATCAGGATGTGAAGACTTTCAGCCAGCATAATGTAACGTGTTTCTGGAACAAATCAACTACCCAGCCTTTATACTCACAATTGTGCTTTTGTACTATCATAGTGAAATTTATTACAGCAGCATTTTGTACTCGTGTGATATTGCAAAATTGAACATTTATTGTAGAGTCAAGGGAAACTGCCGAGCTTTTGTAACTCGTGTGTATGAGTATGTCCTGGGCAGTGATGGGTTTGATTCGCAGGAGACACATGCGATTACATGAACACTGTACTGCAATGCTTGCCTGACCTTCTGGTGTCTATTGCTAAAGATAAAAGTATCTGCAAAATTGATTTATTGATGATCAGTATCTGACTGACCACCAGGTCTTTGTTTACCTCTAGATTTTTCCAGTATGGTAATTGATTTCTCTTTTGATGTAGTCTGTGCTGCTTCATTTTGTTGTGATGTTTGCGTTACTTTACAACAAAGTCTCCTCCGAGCACAAGCACATATGCACTCAACAAAAAACTCATGACTCATGAAAAACATGATTGTTCCACATGATGAAAACATATCTCTTAGAGAAAGCATGACGTTTCTTGAATCAAGTTAGTGGATTCATCTAAGTTGAATTTAGTTTAGTTCATCCTACATGTTTCTATCATGTGAAATAAAGTTCAGCCAAAAATACTTTTCTGTACACATGATTGGTGTGCAACCTGAGGATGGTACTGGTTAATTCATGGCATTCCCATATAGTTGCATTTTTATGTAACTTGAACTCTTGTTAGCACTTCACCACATGCTAAACCCCAAGAAACACCAACATAACACAAACTCTTTTAAATACCAAAGCAATAGATTAACAGGTCTCGCAATCTTGCTAAAAATGCATAAAATAACACTTTATGTCAACACTTACATCTGAATACGTCCCTACTATAATATGTAAAAAACAGAGCACCAACAGAGTATTATGACCGAATACATACACTGTCAAAAAATATTGTTGGTTTAACTTAAAAAAATAAGTAACCTGGTTGCCTTAAAATTTTAAGTTCATTGAAATTGAGTTAATACAATGGAGGAGATTGATTTAATCATCAGAAACTCAAAATATCATGTTATCTGAACTACATAAATTATCTAAGTTGATTTGACAAAAGAAAAAATGGTCTTCGGCTTCGGGCGAGATTCTGTCAGTAAGAACATGGAAGATGTAGTACCCGAATTTCATACATATTCGTACTATATACAGGTAGAGCACTCTTTTTACCTGTTAAGTAAATTAAAATTAAAATGTACCTTCTCAAACCGCACATTTTTTCGGACATAGCATCGCTCTCCCTGACAAGCCCTATACGAGTGCAAATCCAGTTCTCAACATGAAAACATCGAGTTAAGCAAAAAAGTAACTGTACAATTACGAACGATACATGTTTGAACGATAAACCTGGTGCAATGTTGTTAAATCCATTTTCAATAAATCAATCATATTTAAGGAAGTGAAATTCGACAGGAAGAATGCACTGCCCCAAAAAGCGTTGACCCTAAATCACACTTGATGTCATAACAATAGAAAATGAAGGCAAGTTCACCCAGCAAAGTGACCGCAGGAGTTCAAAATGTACAAACATTTTCTTTTCCCTTTTATTTTTGTCAGACACTTTGCTTGAAGTGTGCTTTCACAATAAGCAACAGTTGCTTTCATATTTCCTCCATACAAATACATTCACTCATTTTAGGTATGAACTACAGTAAATGTCCAAATATGTTTTAAGGCCATTGTACAATCCTCAAAACTTGTAAAAAGTAAAAGAGGAAGTTGAAAATTGGTTCTAGTCCATTTAATGTGAGGAATGGCAAAGATGGGCTTCAGATATCAGCTGTAATCAGCACATCTGGGTGGAGGGACAAACAACACTCAAATCCCAAAGAGCGCTCTTCAAATCAAATCTTTAGTCTAAAACAGTGCTGTGATGACACTGCCAGTCTCTACACATGCAAATATATATAAAACCAAATATATGTAAGTCCATCTGATGTGCATAAATGTCCAGTGTGAATTTAAGACAGAGAAGCATTATTAGTGGAAAGCGCATGTACCTTGACAGGAACAGCAGGTCTGAGTCTGGCCGACGGCACCATGATGATCTGTGTTTCTGCCAGCACTGGCGAACTCTCAGCGCCGTCCTGGGAAGGAAGTGACGTCATACCCACGTCAGGTATGTCCTGGACAGGACATGACATCACACCGGCGCCAGGTGTGTCACTGGAGGAGCTGGGCTGCAGGACAGGTGTGTTTCGGTCCCCGTACAGCTTGGAGGAGCGCTCAGCAACCGCGCACAGAAAGGACCTCCCGCTCTCGCTCGCTCTGCTTCGAGCGCAGGCTTCCTCTTTCTGTTTGGCGCTGTGCACCCAGCTGGTGTGCGGCGCCCAAGGCTTGCTGAGGCTCACCACAGGCACTGCAGGAGGCGGGGGGAGGACAAGAGGCTTCGGACCCAGCGCAGGTCGGATCCCTGCAGTCCTGGTGCTGCCGAACGGCCCCGCTCCTGGATGGAGGAAGCTCACTCGGGTGAGTTTGGGACACAGCGCTGAGAGGGAAGAGTTCCCCTCTGAAGCAGGACTCATCTGGCTCATGATTTCAGATTTCCCTCGACGTAAAATCCAATTAGGGGAATCTGTGTCTCATCTAGCATCGGCTGTCCTAATTTCGATTCTCAGTGAAGAGCTCCAATCTGCTACAGTTTCACTGTAATCCAATGCTATGAGTGTCAATACAATTACTCGTAGTATTGTAATATTTTGGTGCAGGTCCTTGAAGAGACGGGTCTTGGCGAGCCCTGGCAGAGGCTCTCCGGATGGGGGAAGCGTCCCGAGAGCTGGTGTGAGACTGGCGCTGGTTGGACCTGGAGAGTGACTGAAGCCGGACCCAGAGGAAGGAAGTCTTACCATGATGATGATTTCCAGTTTCCTGAGGAGAGGCTAATCTCTTTGAGTTTGGTGTGAGGGGCTCTGGAAAGCTCACTAAGGAGCAGTCCCAGAATCATGAGGGCCAGGGCTGCACGATTATTGCAAAAAAAAAAATAATTGTCGATTATTCCCTTGAAATGTAATTGTGATTATTAATTACGATTATCACAATTTACATGGAATGATGTTTTGAATAGCTTTATGCCATTGTTTGAAGCGACTGCGTGCCTTATTGTCATAAGCAAGCTGAAAATAGTCTTCCTGAAAAACTTTTTTTTTTCTTTTCTATAGCATTAAGTGTCAAAGTGTCCAGAAAGGAAATAAAGACATTATAGTAGTCCATGTGACATCAGTGGGGTAGCTAGAATGTTTTGAAGCATCGAAAATACATTTTGGTCCAAAAATAACAAAAACTACGACTTTATTCAGCATTGTATTGTCTTCCGGTTCTGTTGTCGAGCTGCGTTCAGTGACGCTGATGACGTAAGACGTTGCTGACGTGTTATCTGGTGCGCCCGAGCTTCGTTTATAGTCTGAGGGAGACGCACTCTGTAAACAAAACAATCTTCGCAAACATGTCTAAGGATTTCGACAGAGGGGAAGACTTGCATTTTTTTTGCCCAGCCATATTTATTTGAACCCGAATACACGGACGCACCAGATACACGTCATCATCGTCACTGCAGACGCGTGAACGCGGATTGACAACAGAACCGGAAGACAGTAAACAGATGTTCACATTTAGTCTACAATACTCATGTTTTCACACACACGCCTCTGGATATTTTGTTGTAAATTTAAAGGTAATGTGTTACTTTACTAAGAATTCTGATAACTCACATTACTTGCAATGCGTTTGTTACGGTGGCTTTGAAAATGCACAATGAAGAAGATACAAAGTCTTTAATCTACAGTAATAGCATACCACCACGTTAACACAAACAATAACCAACAGAACAGGGAGTATAAATACACATTCTCCTCATTCACATACTTTGGTGTGATGGCGTTAATGCCAACAACCTCTGTAGTGTCTGAGATTTTACCGAAGAGAAGCTGAGATTTTACCGAAGAGAAGACTGCGCATGTGCCTGTCAAAGTTACATAACAGGCAGTATTGAGTTGAACGTCCAGGAACTGATCACTCTACTTGAAGGGAATAGTGACTGAAGACTTAAAACATATTCAAAACAGTCAAACAGTCAGCCCTGCAAAATATCTATATCCAATACATGCTGGATTAAGGCACTGAGTGCTGGACATCTTTAATCCTAAAATTCAACACACCTCTAAACCTACAGTACATTGATATTTAGTGATAGAAAACTTATTTTAGTCTGTTGAGATCATCAGTGTCTTCTGTCCACTTAGACTTCTGATTTAAGGAAGTATTGTATGACTAGTACAAGTGAATATTTGCTTTGTTTTCCCTCTCAGTCCTAATGATGAATCTTTCTGTCTGATCATGTTAAATGTTAATAGTGTTTTTCATACAGTTCATTCAGCTGTGTGTTTCATGCACTGCTCATGTAGGAGAGACATGGTAAATTGACAAGTATTTGCATACTTTATACCTGCGATAGAAGATAGCACACTGAAATTTAATTTGCGTTTAGTGTGTCACCTGATAAAGTTGACAGTGTTGTCTTACCCTTGTTTCATGCAGTCCTCCTGTCAAATAATGGAGACAGGACTGATAATGTAGTGGGATTGGGAACTGGCTTACATCAGAACCTTTCAGCTCAGAAAATGAGGGCATTCTACGATTGAAATGAACCTGCAACTGATAAGAGGCCAAAGATGATTCGAGAAACAGACTGAGAGTGTCTGAAAATAAAGAAATGGGTCAAACTGTGATTGAGCTGTGAAAAGAGCATCAGGACTCATTACTTGAACTAGTTCTCGCAATAATAGATTTGCATCCTGCCATCTCACACATAGTATGCTTCGTTCCAGACAGGACTGCTGACTTTTGCAAAGGCTCAGTGTTTCTCGTGACATAATGAGCCTCTCCCGTTCACTCACGTCACTCACACCAGGTTCAATGGCACTTTCATATACGGTTTCCTGACAAAATCGCAGACAAAATGTGCAGATGTCTTGTTCCAGTTCTTTATATCACTGTCAGTGTGTGGTGCTTTGGAATGGGGTTTCAGTGCTGCGATAGAAGAACCATTTTCTGTTCCCCAATCGGTTCTTAACCATGTTCACTATATGGACCTTCTGTGCAATGGAAAGGATCCATGGATGTTAAAGGTACAACATGCAGGATTTTTGCAGTACAATATTAAAAAAAACACTAGGCCAGTTTTATATATTTTGTTTAGTTGATTACTTACAATATCCCAAACGTTTTCAACCATTTGTAAATCGTGAGAAAATTTAGATTTTAACCAAGGAAACGGTGTGTGAGCAGGGGTGAGGAGTCGCCAGTCAATGGCGTCATTTCTGCGTTACCCTCGGTTTCCGCCAGGTTTGACCTCGTACTGCAATAGTAACCATGGCGACAGACGTTGATGTAAGGGTTAATGCCCGACGAGGTGTCCATTGTCAGGTTTTAATGGACGACGGCAAGGCGTGAACCGGCTGACGCGCAGCGGAAGACGGTTGCCTCCGCCGAAGTCCATTAAAACCTGACAATGGACACCTCGGAGGGCATTAACCCGCTTATACCATGGTCACTTGCCAAATAAAACATTTTTAAAACATTAGCTGCTAGTTTATATTTTAATTAGGCTAAATCAAATTTTTACAAATAATAACTCGTCTGGTTTATTTAGCAACCGAAGAAATTTATAGTCCGCTCAGCTTGTAGAACCCTTCAGGTTCAAAATGCATTTTTTTTTTTCATGAAACACAAAGGTAGGCATAGTTATTTTTTATTTTTTTTAATTACACATAAAACAATTAATCAAACAGGCTTCTTAGGCTTGAAACGCTGTACTCTCCTCCTGACTTGGTTGTCTGGACTGCTGCGTAAAACTCCCGCAGGGTCTCATTCAGAGCAGCAGCGGTGTAATTTTCTTTGTGACGTTTCTCCGTTTTATTTACATTTTTTCTTTCTTCAGCAGCATCCCAGTCGTCAAAGTTGTCATATTCTCCATAAATGTTACAAGAAATAACGAAGTCGTTCATTGTTGTATTAGTAGGCTATGTAACATCTAACTAACGTTAGATGTTGTTTTGATAGAGCAAATTGTTAACGGATACTCCTGTTGCTATGGTTACTCACAGCTGTTGTGGGCAGCGCATTTATTTATTCATTTCGAATGTTAAACAGGCAGTTTCACCAGAACTACTTTACTAGGTGTCCTCTATCACTTTTTAACGGACACCCTGCAGCCAATCAGAATCGAGTATTCACCCAGACCATGGTATAAAACTGGGTTATGCAGGTGTTGTGCTGAATTTCGTCTCCCTGCCAAATTATTACCCCCCTTGTTGAAGTCAGTACCTGATTGCCTAATCCTAAGCCCACCCCTAGTCCTATCCCCTCCCCCACAACTAATCCTAAACCTACCAATAGGGGATTATCACGCTGATACGTAGGACTTCCGGATTCAGTGATCTTTGTGCACTGCCACTTCCGTTGAATCACCGATCTCGCTGGCGAACTGCTGACAGACTACACTAAGTTTATTTATACGGCATCCCTGGTAAATTAGTCTGATTCACTAAAGTGCCGGCTGCAAACAAACGTGCTACCTTGTATTATTTCAAAGTTTTAATCCAGTTCTTCCTTATACTCAATTCTGTCGGGAATCCATGAAAACTTGCGTAGGGTTGGCGTTGTTGGTTAGATTTACAAATTGGAACAGAGAAGTGACATATATAGCCTTCGTCTCAGCCATTGTTGAACTGCATCGGAAGTGGACATGCACAAAGTTGACAAATCCCGCCCATGAAACCCGAAAGAGTGATAATCCCCTATACTAGAGGGGGGTAATAATTTGGCAGGGGTCAGAATTCGGCACAACACTGGTTATGCCCCTTATGCTTAGCAGGACGCTCATACCGTTGTTGTTGTTTTTTTCAAACATTTTGGACCATGGCAAGCAGACTTTGAGACAAAAAGAGGACTAAAATGAAGATCAACATCTTTGGAGCTCCACGTCCGCGACTAGTGTTGCATGTACTTTGTTAGGCAGATGAGCAAATGGTCATAAAACTAATCAATGTTATTTAGTTCAACATGATGAAAAATCTGTATTTTTTAGTGTGTTTGGTTGAATTGTGTGGCTTGTCACAATACCTTTATCTATCTGTTAAATTCAGTCATGGCAGTGACGTAAATTTTGTATTTTGCAAAGCTTGCTGCTTCAGTATTTGTAGTTAACTCTTTTCACATGTTTCTACTGGAAAACAATGAAAACTATTTCAAAAGCTTTAAAGGCTTTTATTGGCCTATTACATTCACTATATTTCTGCAGTTTGCTCTGGCACGCTGGGACAAATCCTGAAGGATGACAATCCAATCTTGCTCTGTTAGCACTCTGAGTCAATCACTTCTGCTTGGCCACACATCTTGAGGATTGACCCCAGGTTCTCTATGGGATTATGGTCTGGGGAGTTGGGGCTAGGATCCAAAATGTCAATGTAACGACATCTGAGCCACATTTCATTTCATTTCGCTCTTGGTCATCCATCATGCTGGGAAATGCACGGATCATCCCCAGGTTGTTGGGAGAGCTCCTCTTGCAGGATGCTTTGATGCCATTCTTTATTCGTGGCAGTGCTTTTGGCCTGAATGGATATGGATAACACATGGATATTCCCAGGATGCTTCACTATTGGCACGACACAGGACTCATGGCAGCGTTCACTTTTTCTTCTCCAGGCAATTGATTATTCCAATGTCCCAAACAGTCAGAAGGAGCTTCATCAGTCT